ATAAAAAAAAAGATAAAAAAATTATAAAAAAAATTATTCGTATATCATCATGAACTTAACTGCTTGTCAATTTGGGGAAAGTTACCATGTATATGTCAGATTAGGTTGCCAAAAATTCGGGTTTATCATTTAATTAGAAAGGGCAACACGGTCAGATTCTCAATTGGAGAGTGCAATTGTACAAAAGCTTTATATCAAAGGATTCTTTCTGCCACGTGGTATGTATGCGGGATTAGGTGGTGTCATGTACGAAGCGAAATTCAAAATTTGATTTTATATTTAAAAATTTAATTTTTTAAATATATAAAATTAAAAATATTTTTTAAAAATATTTTAAAAAATAATTTCAAAATATATAAAAAGTAACTAGCCTAACTCAACGATTGAGAGTAAATAAAAAGAAAGGGTATGTAATTGGCGAGATGGTCCATTTTGATATGGAATTGGTTGGTAGAAAAAGTGCATTATAGAATAAAGTTAAATTGTTTAAATTTAGCCAAATATATATACATATTTATTGGAAAATTTAGCCTAATATGTTAGAAGATGGTTTTCTATTAGCCCACATGTTGGAAGTTCGAACAACAAGGATTGAATTTAATGGTAAAACATATATTGTTTTATAAATTATATTAAAATAATCTTTATTCTATAATAATACTAAGGGTGTATTTAGTTATGCAAAAGTCTAAAAAAAAATATTATAAAAATTTATGAGTTATTTGAATCACGACTTGCACCCAAAATATTATTTTGAGCCAAAGACACATAAATATTTACATCTAAAATGTAATTGATTGTATACCTTAAAAAAACTCTTAAAAAATATCTGAAAAATTTTCTTCCATAATACATAATTGCTTACAAAAAAAAAAAAATCGGTTATATCCTCTAAATGCTTATATAATTAATTATTTGAATAATAAAATCAAATATATTGCACCTTTGGAATATGTGTAAAAAATGTGAAGACTCTAATTGTAGCCAGTTGGGTTTCAAATGTTTGCTTATCAAGAAATACTTTCCAAATTTTTGGACAACCAAACAGTCCCTAACACAACTGACTGTGACTTGTGCGGAAGTCTAAAGAACAGAGAAATTACATTAGTCGGGACTTTACTTGTGTTCTCCGCCATGTCTCCTGTGGAGCTAATACTTGTTCTAGTGTGTTGGCAACTCAATTTTATCATTTGGACAGCAACTATTCTTATAAGAGTAGTTTAATAGTTAAAAATTTAAGATTTTAAATTAAAAATATCAAATTTAAATTTTAAGTAAGTTAAAGAGAAATTAAAAAAAAATGATTTTTTTGTATAATTTATTATTATTAAATGTATCAAAAAATTTTAAACAAAAACTATCATTAATTATATTTTGAGGAACCTCTTAATGCAGACCTAGAGCCTCTTCGCTTATTCAATGTATAGTGCATTATCCCTTGTATAAAAAATGAAAAAGACAAGAAAGCTTTTTAATCAAATGTTAATAGTTAACATATTTAATTATAAACCTTTATTTTTTAACTCTATTAATGTTTAAGTTCAAGAAAGCTCAAACTTTTTAATTTTGAGGCATTCACTATGAGACCATGGAAATTATAATTTTATTTGAAATATTTTTATGCTACTAATACATTAAAATTAAAGTTTTTACAATAAGCATCCATGTTAATATCACTATTCTTGTAATATGATGTCTCCAGGTCTTCTGGTCTTCTTGTACTAAGGGTCCTCGTATTATTGTGATCTTACAAAGTTTTCTCGAAGATTTAATTTGGACCACATGAGAAGCGCTACATAGAGACAGAGTGGCATCCCTGTTTTGAAGTTTTGGTATACTACAATTTACATGATCTACAAACTCACCTAATACATCATCTCCAATTGCATTAATTATTACCAAGCTTCATCATATGTGAAACCCTAGATTTGAGTAAGGGAGGAAGAGGATCCACTTCAATAGGGATCTAGTTTTCTTTGCCAGCTTTGCTCTCATCACCGCCTTTCAAGAACTTTGAGAACCAATATGCAGAAGATTTTGGATACCGGGTAAGACAATGTAATCCAATCTAGCTAGGCGATTGAAGGAGGCGCCCATCATATATTGGACCTAAAACTTGAACCTTTTCTAGTGGATCTAACTTTTCAAGTTTAGCCTTGGTCTCACTCCAAGTTGACTAACATAATCTAGTTGAAACCCACTATTAACATAATAACTCTTCATATTAAGATTTATGAGGGTTTTAAAGATTAAGGTTAAGTTGTTAGTAGTAGTAGTTAAGTTTTATATTTATGAGTTAAGATAAGGAAGATAAAAAATTAGGACTAAAATTTGAGATTAATGATGTAACATAAGTCATATCATTAAATTAATTAATGTATATAATATCACAGATTAAAAAAATAAAAAAAAATCAATAATTAAATAATAGAGTTTTACCTTTTATTATTTTAAATAATTTAACTTATGATCCCAAATTTTAACCTCATTTATCATTATTTTATATTTATATACCAATCACTTTCACATTTTCATCTCCACATGAGATTACATGTTCAATAGTGACCAAGTAAAGTAACCCCTAACATCTATTCCATCCTTGTCTATGCAAATGATAAAAACACCCTTATCAATTTTGTTTTTCCCTTGAGTATTGTCTCTAATCGTTGATTCAGTCATCCAATGAA